TCACATTGTGCAACATGTACAAAACAACATAACGTTGTTTACAATAGTCATCTACTGCTTATCACTTCCAAGAATGACAGATAAAAAACCAAATGACCTTATTAGTGTTCAAACCACTCCTGTCTGCTTTTCAAGGGCAAAGCAGCAAGAAGATTTTAAGAACATACACTTTTGTTGTTGCAAGTGAAGAGGTGCAGACTACAACATTGACACATTTTTGAAATTCTAATGAACTAAACAATAAGTAACTTTAACAAATACATGTATTTTTTTATATCTGAATAAATCTTGTATAGAACTGTCAAGATTCATTTTAGTGCCACAGTGCCCTTTAAAATTGTTCAGGGGTCACCAAATAATATAAGGAAAGAATAAAATACACATTTTGGGGTATTTTTTTCAGATTGTTTCTTTTTTTTATTGTGAAAAACTGACAACTTTAGTCATGAGGCATCATATGTAATTCATCAATTTAAGCGCCATAAGCCAAAAACATTAGACACTTCCCTGCTTAAAATTAGTCATGCTAGCAGGGGGGCACAAGGGATGGTATTATAATTCAGGCCACTACCATTTTCTAAAGGATTTAGTTTGGTGATCTCCTGACTCTTCATTTCCCCAACAATTTGGTGTATGACTATTATCGCCAGATGGGGAAGGTAGGACGGATGTACATGGACCGGGGGAGGTGATGGTAGATATCCACTGGGTTGATGACCTTGGAAATGGGAAACAGGCCCACAAACTGAGGAACTTCCTAGATTTGACCTTGAAGTGCAAGTCCTGCGTGGACAGCCAGACCCCCTGGCCAGGGGTGTAGCTCGCCTGGTAGCGGTCGGAAGTGTGGAGGAGAATGGACCGATCCTGCAATAAGCCTCTGGTACTTGGTCTTAAAGAGTGGGGGCTGGTAACCCTGGGAGCATTGGAAGAGGTAAAGACTGGTGGCAGAACTGGGAAGGGTGTTCTGTGTGTATTCAGCCCAGAGAAGGGCCACAGGTTGGACTCAAACCCTGGCAGCCTTAGTACATGGGGTGCCAGGTCAACCAGGTGAGCTACCAGGACAAGATACTCAATATGTCTACTGGGAGTATTGAATGCTGTCTTCCACTCATCTGCAGATGATAGGCATTTCTCAAATCGGGCTTTGAAATATGGTGGCATCTATGAGTGGGAGAGGGTAACTGTTCTTTACTTGTAGACTCTCACTATGTATTTGAAGCAGGGCCGGAGAGTCTCGTTCTTCATGATAAGAATCCCACCCTAGTGGGGGAAGAGGAGGGTCTTATTATAGGAAATCCTAAATACAGCCTCACAGAGCTGTTAGCCTAGCTATAGACTCTCATTTTTCAACGAAAAGTCACAGCAAGTGTCCCTATGTGGCCCTCTGGTTGGCTCAAATGCCACTCTGCTTGCAACACAACTGCTCAGGCTATATGTTGGGCTACAGTAGTGCATCTTCTAAGCTTTCTGACTTAGTGTCCAATGATGCTGCTGTATGCTAGAGCTTTATAACGTTTTGTCATATTTGCTGAAACTTTCACTATATGTCAGGATAAAGTACATAGTAGTACATGAGACAGATAATCTGTGAAAAAATCAGGTTCCTCTGGCTTCTCCTAGTGCTCCTAGTGGTATTTATAAGAATCCAACCAAAACCAAAAAAGAAAACAACCAATCAAATCAAATACAGACGATTTAGGGCCTGAGAATGAGACTCAACAATCAACTATCTTTTTCATACATTTTTATAAATGTTACCTAATGTAGCTTTAATATCATTAATTAATACAGCAGCATTCCATGTAAGTGATGCAGTTCCAGGGCATTGTTTCATGCATGATAGCTCACTTGAATGTCTTACTCAAACACTTAATGGAACTGAGCAACCATTCATGTTATTAACTGTGTTTTACTTGCTGTCAAACTCTTACGCTGTGAGAAAGTCTATTGTCTATTTACATCCACATCCATTGTACTGTATTCCTCAGTGCCCCTTAGCCAAACCACTGTTCGGCAACATGTTGCAGATAAGCTTCTTATTAAGCAGAATGCCTATGAAGTGAATCCACCTTGTAGCAGAACGAAATTGAAAATTTACAACAACATGGCCTTGCTCCTTTCCGTCAAGTTCACAGAGCTCACCATGTTTGTTCGACCTGATGGAACACCTTGTTTCTACTGACTGTACAAAGGTAAACAGTGTTGCCAAATATGACCTCTGGGGTGGGGGATTGATTTGACAGGCTAGGATCTGTTCACAGTTTCATCAAATTAGCATTGCCTAAAGATTACTGCCAAGTGTCTTTAAAACACCCAGAACTTCTGACACCTCTGTAACCTTAGTCAATATCTAATAATAGCAGTACACTGTGATGGTATTTGTGTAATGTGCTAATGCCTAGTGCTGTTAGTAGTGGATACATTTGAACTGCACTTGCAATATTGATCCTTTGCTTGTTGAGTTCCATTCCGAATCTGAATCTTGCTGTTTGTTCTGTACTGTTATTGTTATGCATTCAATATAATTAGAAATATCTATAAAATATGTTTTTTTTTTGTGACTTACTGTCAGGACCCTCGCACTGCCCTGGCCAACCTTCTTCCCAGACCCTAACCAAGCTCAGTCTCCAGCTTCAGTTACAGTATCATCCCTGTGTGCACTGCAGATTGCTATTTGGTTGTACTTGCAGGTTATGCTTAGTACATCTGAGATTTATACATTATATACACTGATCTGCCATAACACTGTGAGCACTGACTTGTGAAATTCCCAGTCTGCAGTGTTCAGTACCTATCAAAAGTGCTCCATGGAAGGAAAAGAACCGACGACAGGGTCATGAGGGTCCAAGGCTCACTGATGCACGTGGGGAGTGAAGACTGGCCCGTGTGGCCTGATCCAACAGACAAGCTACTGTAGCTCAAATTACTTGTAGTGAGTTACTGCTCAACAATGCTCCTAAGCACCATTAAACAGGAAATCACAGCGATGCTATGGCCAATATAATATTATTTGAATATAACATTTTAAAGTCTTCAATATTGTGATATTATTCTTTCCAACGTGATATCTCCAAGGAGGTGACAAATTTGTGTTTGTTACCAACAAACACAAAGGAAAAACTGCAACAAAAAAAACCTGTGATGCACAGCACAAGAGGAGCACACATCAGGCGCTGTTTTTAGCAGTTTGTTCCTATGTGTTTGGAGGCAACTGGAAGTTGCTCAAGGTCATCCAGGATCATATTAATTATATCTATAATTTACGGTAACATTAGCTAACTAAAGATGTGACTATATATATGTCACTTTTCTTTCTTCAAACGGTGGCTGTCTTTTCAAAACAGATTAGCCTAGCACATAGCATATCTAAGAACGGAAAAGGAGGAAGTTGACCGAGGCTTGCTCAACTGCATTAGAGCACAAAGCAAAAAGAGGCGGGACTTAGGAAAGGTCAATTAAGACGAGCGTAATCCTAACTTGGTCATTACATCACAGTCGGAATCAAAAGTAGCAGATATTTGACAGTGTTTGAGGAATCAGTTAATATTTTTGCTCCATTAGCATGGATGTGTATCTGGTCCTGTGACTTTGGGCAGCAGATCTTGGTCTGAGCCCAAATTGTCTGTGACTCAGTAGTCAACAAAGCCCATACATTTACAACAACCAATAAAGAATTAGTGAATCTCTCAATGACTCAAAAGAGGAAGAAATAGTGGTTTTGTTGGGGACTATCTTTAACAGCCGATTAATACATATTTGGGGCTCTAGTGAGTATTTCTGGCAGCAGGATGTACGTGTATGTGTGTTTGAGTTGAAATAAACTACAGTGTCTTTTCATGGTAATGAAGGAACATGTCACCCAGTGCAACAGTGTGGCTCACTGATGTGTTTTTAATAGTTTTTGTTAAGTTTCAACTGTGACAACATGGCCCCACTTTGCACATGACTATTACGTTCAGCCAAATACATATGGATGCCTTAGGGACTGATCACACTGAGACACACTCCTAGAAACGTGTTACCTGCAGAACCATCCTCCTGTGCTGCATGTTACAGTTTTTTAACACTCATCAGTGTCACGCTTGGTCAAGTTAAGCTGCTCGTATTGGCTGTGTAGTTTTCACTCATCTGTAGCAGGAAACAATGGCAGCTCACCTGTTAACTCATGTTCTAGTATTCCAGATAAACAGTACACTAAAATATGTTTCTGAAGAGATTTAAGGAGAGAAATAGGCAATGCAGTAACATAATCTGAATTCATATCTGATCAGC